CATTTAACAAGTAAAATATTAAAGAGTGAACAAGATAATAAATACAAAACATGTTAGTATCAAACATTAAAGTCTATATTAAGTTTACACTATACTTATTTTTACACTATTACTGTAACCTTTTTATCTTGACATGATAAAATTAGCTAAACATAATGAAAGAAAAAAAAAAGAACATAAATAAGATAAAAGTTAATTAAGTAAAGGAAAGGAAATAAAATGAAAGGCATAAACTTAGTATTAATGAAAGCAAAACTTAAGCATTACAACAAATACAAAGAGAGAAAGTAAAAGTATGATCTTAATCTAGAGACCAAGATGCCTAAATGCATGGCAAATGCCTTCTTTTATAGGCCAAAATTAGAAACTATTGATTTGATAACTAATTGATGAGTGGGTGACCAACTCTTGAGTTGGTGACAACCCTTATCTTCTCTTGTCTACCCAAAACGTCATTAATAATGCACTTTTAAGTACTAATCACTTAGTCTTTCAGACTGACATATGCCTGATTTTTTTTCTTAGGTCAGGTGCACTTGACCTTTTTCTTAGATATTCCTTCATTGTTTTTTTTCTAATTTTTGAAAAAAATATATATTTTAATCAATTTATTAAAATAATATTTCAACAATTTTCCAAGTATGTATTGTTTTTAAGATGATTATTTCTTTTTATGATGATATTATCAATTGCTTTATGAATAATTATGTCTTGACCTAATACACATAATATTTAAAATAATTTTCTCATTAATATTAATTGAGAATAATATATATATTGTTATTTTTTATATAATATTCCCAAGTTTATTGTTTTTAGATTGTTATAATAATTAATTCATGATTTTTTTATTTTCTATTTAAAACTTTCTTTCTCAACATAATATTTTTTTCCTTAAAAATAAAACTTCTCATAAAAAACATGTTGTTGTTGAAATAAAAACAAATGCATGTATAAAAAAATTGGCTTTTCATTAAAAATATATATATTATTTTTAGTTCAAATCATTATAGTTTTTGGTGTATGCTTTTTTTTTTAATTGTTGTTACTTTTTATTCAATGAATTGTACTACTAATAAAAAATATATTCTATTGTAAAAATAAAAAGATAAATAAATTTAAAAAGATAGTTTTGATGAAAAATATTTTTTTTCAATATTTGTTTCCATTTTATTCTTACAAATATTTAATTATTATTATTATTATATAATTAAATAAAAAATAAATTATAAAAAATTTCTCACGATGGCATGCATGCAAGAATCAAGGGTAAGAAAAAAAACTAAAAAATCTAAACCGTAAAAAAAACTAATTAAAATTTTGAAAAAATTAATCAGTTCGATTCGGTTTCAGTTTTATAAGCATAAAAACAAAAAATCCGAACCAAATCAAACTCAAACCAAAAAAAATAGAGCCAAACCAGGAAAAACCAAGCCAAATTGAGAAAATCAAGTCAAAACCAAAAAACCAAGCTAAATTGAAAAAACCAAGTCAAAACCGAGCCAAACGATTTGAACTGATTTTTTCATAAAAATCAAATTAAATTGAGCCGAAATCTGCAGATTTGAACCTTTTTTTTAATTTTAATTTAATTATTTTTTTATAAAAATTAAATTTAAAAATAATTGCCTCTAGCAAGTATACTGGTCTTGATCTAATACCAAAAAACCTCCTATACTAAATACAAAATCAATGTAGCTTTGACCATGAAAAAAATGATAAAATAAAAAATAATAAAACTATGCCCATGTTATGTGTTTTTTTAGCTAGGTTTTGATAGTCGATCTCTCTAGTTAGCTAGCTAGCAAGCCTATAAATTACAGGATTAATTATTTTGGATGTTATTTTATAAGTATCATTTAATTTTTATTTTGTTTTTAAATAAAATTATAATATATATATTTTTATAATATTATCAAAATAATATTTTTATACTACCCCTAATAATATTATTTTTTAAAATTTTATTTAATAGTTTTCCTTCGTATATTTATTTTTATTATCATATTATTAAATAAAAAGTAATTATAAGATTTAAAGTCATTAAACTTAATTGAGTTCATAACCTGACTTGTGAGTTAATTTAAATTAATTTAAAATATCATATATACATATATAATTAAATGAAAAATATTTTTTAAATAAAATTGAATTTTGATAAGATTTTATTTAAATTTACCGCATTAAATTAAATCACATCAAATCTATTTTTATTTTATTTAATTTAAAACTCGGGTTAAGCATATAACTAGTTCGGGAGTGTCCATGTTAACTCACTAGGTTGGTATGAATATTCTAATACTATCAAAAAATTTCATGAAATATAATAGATAGGTAATGTATTATCTTATATTATTAATACTTTTATGTTAGGATGAATTTTACTAATAAATTATTTTATTTTAATAAAACTTTAATTATTTTTTTTTTAATAAAAATAAAATACCATAAAACTAATTTGATAACTTAATTTTTAGTTATTATTAATAATATTTATTAACATATATATTCCTCAATTTATTTTTATTAAATAAAAACTTTAAATTTTAAGTTAACAGTTAAGAATTTTTTTATAAAAAAAATGTGTACAGTGTTACATGTATGTTTTCTATTAAAAAGTTTTTTAATACGGTGAACTAACTAGTAAAAACTAAAAAGCTCCCAGGTGGGGTCCTCTTTAGAGTTTAGAGAGAGACATGTACACCCCTCTCGGGTTCTACTGACGGACTCTTCACCCTTTTATAAAATCCAATTAATTGATCCATTTCATTCCCGATTCAAATCCAATTCTTCACTGCCCCCCCTCTCTCTCAGTCCGTGCTGCGAGAGAGACAGAGAAAGAGGTCAAATATTTTTCTCTAACTTTCCCTCATTTATACTAAAAACCTCTCTCCCCCTACTCCATCTGTTTCTTCACTCGATCTCCATTTGTCTCTGCCTCGCTCTCTCTAAAAATTCCAACTTTCTTTCTCTTAAGAAAAACACGAAACTTGTCTTCTTGAGTAGGCAGGAGTATTTTAGTATCGATGGACGGCGGAGCATCGTATAATCCTCGCACGGTAGAGGAAGTTTTCAGGGATTTCAAAGGTCGAAGAGCTGGCATGATTAAAGCTCTTACTACTGGTACTTCTTTTTGTTTCTTTTACTTTTCTGAGCTGTTTTTCATATAAAAAAAATCAGATATGAAATTTCTTGGAGAATTATTTAATTTGGTTTCATTTTTATGGTTTGTTGCAGATGTTGAAGAGTTTTACCAGCAGTGTGATCCTGGTTAGTGTTTTTTTATTTAATTTTATTTTTTAATAAAAGATTATGGAGAATTGTTTTGTTTATTTTCTCATGTTCTATTTTGTTTGCTTTCTGAGAAATTTGCGGGGGAAAAAAACAGAAGTAGGGTTTTGGATGTGCTCATTTCTGGATTTTTTTTACAGTGGCTTACGTAGTAATTTTACTCAGTTAAAGTAAATGTTGAAGTTGTTATTTTTTTTCTTAAATGAACACATTCCCTTAACTGATTGTTTTTTGATAATTAATGGGACTTCATTTTTTTTTTGAAGTTTTGCATGTTATTTTTGCGTTTAAAATTATTTTAAGTTTTTGTTCCCCTTCTGAACTGCATTGATTTATTATCCTGTAAAAAATTTCTCTATATATCGACTCCATTTTGTTGCTTTACTTTGTTTCAACTTTGAGAATTTAATGCGAAATGTTTCCTTAACTCAAGTTTTTTGAGTAATTGGACGTCATGTATTTATTTTTTAACTGAATTTTTCCTGTTATTTTTGCCTTTAAATTATTTTGGCTAAAATGTTTCTGCATTTTGAACTGCATTGATTTAACTATCCTATAAATATTTTTTGTTGAAGTGTATTTCTTGTAAATGTCATAAAATATATTTCGCTAATATCTTGAGTAAAGGAAGCACATAAAAGGTAGCTTTGTTGATCATGTTTGGTGTATGCATTGTGTCTGTTAGTAATGACGGACACTTGTATTCGTGCATAAACTTTATGTTTGCATATGCATTTTGACACTTTTAGTGGAAATGAAAGTTGACATCGAAATGCATACTTGCACCTAGCTGTAAACGGTACACATATTTGCTATGATTGTTGATTTGTTATTCTGTTGACAGTTTTTTGAGGTTTTAATTTTGTTTATCACTAGGAAGTTCAAATGGTTTTATTAAAATAAGAAAGACATTGGGAATATCACCGGTTTTTGGGAACCTCTTTAATTATTTTGGATTTAATGAATCACTATCATCACATTCCATAAAGGGCATGATCTGAGTGAGGTAAACAGATAAACGTGTCGCTTAGGTTTTAAATTAGGTCAAAAATATTTGTGTTCCTGAACTTTAATGGGCGTACACTATCACAGTGAAGTATCATTGATTTTACATATCAAAACAACCACTAATGGGAAAAATAGAAGTTAATGCAAAACGAGTGTATAAAAAATGTATCATAATTGTAAGCTAGAGTTGTGGCACCAATTTGTGTGGAGCAACTCATCTTTTGTAGTCATTTAAGTCTCTTTAATGAGAAGGTGGTTAACATTTACACTTAGATGCAGTCACATTTTCCAAGCAAATGGGTGATGGAAAGAGATGCTTTCTGGATAAGCTGCACAAATGTTGGCCTGACAGCTTCTGGTATCATTAAGTAAAACCAAACATAAGACAATCTTGCCAACTTACCGCTTCTGTCTAAGAATTCCATCTGCTGATTAGGCTTAATTGCTAGGAAGAGACTATATCAAATGTTGTTAAATTTAGTGGATGATTGCAAATTCTAGATTGAGCATTATAATGGTCACCTGTGCATTATCAAATGTTGTTAAATTTAGTGGATGATCGCAAATTCTAGATTGAGTTATAATGGTCACCTGTGCATTTATTTAATGTGGATATATACATGAATACAGTGGTGAATAAATAAGCACAGCTTTTTTTACCGCACTTGAAGCTTCAAATGTCAACATATAATTGGGTGGACATAAATAGAATGTCTGTTTATATGCATGGAATTGCTGACAGATGAAAATAATATTTGATGGTTTTCCTTCGTCTATGCTTTGGTGGGCAGATGAATTGATTGCTTTGATTGGAATCTTTTGTTTTAGTGTCCACGTATAACTTCACTTTTTATTCTGCTTTCTTTCTTTGTTATTTGTGTTTAATCATTGGTTGGCCCTTTTACATGCATTTAACTTTGTTCTTTTTTCTATCCATCATAAAAAAAGACTGTCTTTATTGTTTTAAACATGTTCATCTTTTATAGGTTATCAAGCCCATTTGTTTTGGTTAAAACAATTTTTTTATATAAAAAAAATACTTGATTGTTTTTACATGACATTTGGAAGCACTGCTTTTAGCTTTGATAAGATTTATGTGAACTTCTTGATTTCAGAGAAGGAGAATCTTTGCCTTTATGGATTTCCTAGTGAGCAGTGGGAGGTCAATTTACCTGCTGAAGAGGTGCCGCCAGAGCTTCCAGAACCTGCTTTAGGCATCAACTTTGCCAGAGATGGGATGCAAGAAAAGGACTGGTTGTCTCTGGTTGCTGTTCACAGTGATGCATGGTTGCTTTCTGTGTCCTTCTATTTTGGGTCTAGGTTTGGATTTGACAAAGCTGATAGGTATATTACCCTTGAACAACTTTTGGTACAATTGTAGTGTAGCTTCTTTGTGTGTAGCTTAGAATCTCACTTTTAGTGATGACCAGTCCCAAGCTGGATTCACCCTGTGCTTAAAAGTTGATTTATCATTTAGCTTGAAGATATTTCCCATCCCTTCAAATAAGTAAAAAGCTTCCAATCTGGTATACTCTCTTGAATTGTCATAGCTAAGGCCTTTATCTTGCGAGTAGAGTTTCCGATCTGTTGTTTGAACCTTCCTCCACTCCTCCGCAAGAGTCTAATCATGATCTTGTCACTGAAGCAGGAGCATCTTCCTTCAAAAGAGCTGCTATTCTGGCCTGATTTCTTAGCAATGTCTTTTTTGGTGTAGAATCGGGTTTGTAGCAAATTGTATGAATATGGGAAATTAAATCTTCTGAGCAAATATTTCATTAAATTCCGTAGGAGCCGTACGTTAACAAGCAGCCACATGTGATTTGGTTGAAACTCATCCTCCATTTATGATATGGCTAAGATATTTGTGTATTTACTGCTTTTAAGCGATGCAACTTATTTTATTTTGTATCACTTGAATGAAAGTTAAGTTTTAAAAATTCTACACTTAATGTTGTCTAGGTTGAAGGTTAATGAAGGTGGTAGCTTTATATACTACTCTTGGCTCCAAGAAGCAAGTTCAAGTCTTGCTTCTGTTGGTGTTCTCTGAAGTTTCCTAACAATGTCTCAAACTATATTCTGTTGGTAGCTTTGTGAATAGAATTCTTTGATTTAAGCTTTTTTGGTTTTTTTTTCTTCAATATTATGCTTTTGGTCTATGATGCAGAAAACGCCTTTTCAGCATGATAAATGATCTTCCAACAATATTTGAGGTGGTGACCGGAACAGCCAAGAAACAAGTAAAAGAGAAGTCATCGGTTTCGAATCACAGCAGTAATAGAACTAAATCAAACTCAAAGGTATCAGGGATTTGAGACTTCAACTTAATTTGATCCACTATATCTGTGATAATAAGAAACCATAGTTATCTGCCTTGCATGATTTGATGCCAAATTTTCATTATTTGCTCCTTAAATATGCCCTAGGCTTGTTTAATTGATGTAGCAGCAGTCTTATTACTGGTATGACAATATTGAACTACCATGTTTAACATTCCACTATAAGAAATAAGACATGAAAGGGGAATTCTCTTTTACTGGTTTCTATTTTTTAGGCTTCAGAACAATAATATTGGCACTTCATCTTGTTTTGATGGGCAGCAGCGAGGCTCTGAATCCCAGGGCAAATATTCAAAGGCAATGCAAGCAAAAGATGAAGATGACGAGGGCTTGGATGAAGAAGATGAAGAAGATCATGGAGAGACTCTATGCGGTGCTTGTGGAGAAAACTATGCCTCTGATGAGTTCTGGATTTGCTGTGACATCTGCGAGAAGTGGTTCCATGGAAAATGTGTTAAGATCACCCCAGCTAGGGCTGAGCATATTAAGCAGTACAAATGCCCATCTTGCAGCAATAAGAGAGCACGGCCTTGATGATAACCGGGTAGCTTGCTCTGTGTAATATGGTATGTGGGACTGCTAACTGTTTAGAAGGTCAGGTTTGTTCGTAGTCATGTGTCTTTGATCTAGGAAAAAGTATTCGGATGCTATGTGTAGGTTGCAAAATGTGCTGTTTATCTGATCACAAATTAGGATATTTGTATACTTTCAGCCTGGGAACCATTTTCCCATGATTGGGATAAGTGCTTGTTTTATTTCTGTGACATGATGTTTATATGCAATCTGTCCAGTTCTCTGAAGACTGTTTACCCTGTCCCATCTCACCTTTCAAATTTAGTTTTTCCTTTTCACGAGTGCTTGAAACTCGAAAAAATACAAACATGCTTGAAACTTGGATTGTTCCTTTCATCTGACACTACTTGCCGAAGGCCCGAAGCGCCAGCGTCTGTCATTTGCATGAGTAGCTTATTTTGTGTTGCCATATCCATCTGCGACATGATGTTTCTAATTATTTTCTTAAAGAGGGTTGCGAGTCTTAATCATAAATTCATATGATTTTAAGACCGATTCTACTAGTTTAAATGGAATATATATACTGTACCATACAACATTAACCCTAGCCTCTCTTCCTAACATACCTACGTTGCGAGTGCAAATCTAGGGTTGAAGGCGATATGTGCTTGAGTTATTCGAGCTGGTTTTGCACTATCCAAAATGTAGAGAATAAGCATTTATACATAAACATAAACCTTAGAATTGATCGTCTAAAATGCATTTTGACTTGTATGCACGTACAAATTTTTATTTTTTGGTCGTACAAGCTTTATTGTTATTCAAACATTTTAATTAGACATACATTATATTAATTGGTTCTAACCTGTAAGGCTCAAAAAAGAAAAAAGGCTTTCAAGTGGGTATTGATGAGAAGCAAGATCAAAGGTAGAAAAAAATAAAAAGTCCTCAGTGAAATAATAGAAGTAGGAGGAGACCATCTTTATTTGTTGGAGCTTCTCAACCATGGTTTCTTCTATCTTTAGCTTAAACTTGAGAAAGGATTGTATAGAAAGAATGATTTCCAAGAAAGTAATGGAAGTGAGAGGGAGGGAGAGTGGGCAACATGGCATCACGTATTGAACTTTTAAGAAAGGAAGAGCATTAAAAAACAAGATTTTGTTTTTCACTAGGAAAGAGGATCAAAAAATAAAAATAAAAAATCTAAAATTCTGCTTTTAGGTTAGAAGTGAATTTAGCTTTTATACCTTTTTTTATTATTATTTAAGTAGGTCTTGGTTGGACTCTTCTAGTTTGATTTAATCAGGTTTCTCAAATTAAAAATTAAAACTGAATTGAAAGAGATTTTTTTAATTTTCTAAAAAAGTTTTTTAGTTTTTTCTTAAATTCTTGTTTTTTTTTTTGTATCCTCACCCTGAATTATATTTAGTTATTGTTTGTTTTTATGGTTATTAATTAGTATTTTTTTTCAGGGTTAGTAATTAATGTTAGTATTGAGGATTTGTCTTGTATTTGAGATTAGTTTGGAGTTAAAGTTAAGTTAGGCTGTGATTTGATATTTCTAGTCAAATTTACTATTTCTAATTATGTCTTTATTAAAATAGATATTACCTGTGCTATTTTGCCAAAGTTTTTAGCAAAAAATATTAGATATAAAGCTCATCTGAAAATACAATTTAACTAGTGTTTTTTAAAAAAATTAAAATTTATTTTTTATTTAAAATTAATATTTTTTAGTATTTTTAGATTTTTTTTAATGTATTAATATCAAAAATAATTTTTAAAACATAAAAAAATATTTTAATATATTTATAAATAAAAAACACTTTAAACAACACAAAATCTTTCAAAAACCTGAAATATCCTTAAACGCATGCTACATACGTAACTCGCCTTCTCTTCTTGTCATTTACCCGTGAACGCCTGTCCGAGTAGCCGACTAGGGAGTTATTTCGTTTAACAATAATATTATGAGACATTTGCTGGGCTTTGATTCGTATGATAAAAGATAATAATAAAAGAATACACACTGTCAAATTCCTTTCGAGGAACGAGAGGACAAAGCTAGGTGCCATACAGAATTAGCTTCTTTTTAGCAGAAGCAATTGATGTTGCGTAACGAGACTCGTGTCAGGCACATTCATGACCTCATGTCCTCACCTGCAACCGGTAATCCTCGTCCCTTCGAGTGCTCATGGGTTAGAGCCACCAACATCTGGCAGACTTTGTCACATCAACACCCTCATTGAGGTCTTGCCATTTTACTTTTCTTCCTTGTCCTTTCTTTTGTTTTGCTAAGGTAACTGTGAAGTTCATAATTTATTCTGGTTAATCAAGAAAATGGAGGATGTCATTGTCTCTCCCTCTGCATGCATATATGGACATGAATGATTGGTTAGTGTCATCATCAGCTAAGATGTTGTTTATATTCACCTAACAGAAAGCACGCTAGCAGTTTCTTTATGAGACATTTCCATAACCGAGACTTCAGAACTAAAGAGACAGATGCTGTATGATTTGGACACGAACAAGTGCCATCTCAAATGAATTCAGGACATAGACGCACAGATAGGAAGGCCTTGTTATTACTATACTAAAGTTTACATTGATTTCCATTAAAAATAACGGGGAAGCTGGAAAGCAAAAATTTACATTGATAGGCCATCTTGGGGAGCAGGCTGATAAAGAGACACGGCACAGAAATAACAAAATTTTTAACGATTTCAAGTGGAAAAAGTCTCTCCTCTTCCATTGCTCTCGAGTCATGAGGTCAAGCTATCTCTGTTCTTGGTAGATAAACGTTTCAAAAACTCGTATGTTGTGATCATGGTTGTTGCAGACATTGACATTGAAACCCACCTTGGTCCCAATCCTCTATAACAAGCTACAAAACCACCTTCCTTCACCAAGTTCCTAACTGTTTGCATAACTGTCAATGGCCTTGTTCTTCCATTTTCCTCTCCATCCAAAACCTGCAAGCGTGTCTTAATTGTGTCAAGTGGCATGGTAATAATAGCCGAAACTCCACTAGCCATGGCTGCACATACACCTTGTACTGCCACCATTTCCTTTGAACCCGGCCTATAACCACAACCCCCGCCACCATTTACAGCATTCTCATCTTTCTTGCTGGCATAGCAACCAATACCACCCCACACAAGCCTATGAGCCACAGAGTAAGATGCCCACCAAACTGCATTAGATGGTGCGTAAGTCAATATTGATATCCCAAATCCTCTATACAACCCTCTTGGACCATCCGCATTCAAAATCTTCCTAAATGCATCAATACCATTCATATACCTACACGAACTTGAACTGGGGATCATATTCTTGCTACTCTTGATGCTGCTACCATTACAATCTTGTACCATGAGTCTTTGGCTCACAACATCAATTGGGGTCCAACCTTCCTGCGCAGCCATGGCAGAACTCAACCCAGCAGCAGCATTAGCAATAGCTGTTGCTGTAGTATCTGAAAACCCTAACCTAACAGTTGCAGTCCCAACATTACTCTTAGTAACCTCAAGCGCCGTCATGTAAAGTGCACGAGCTGGGATTGTACCCATCAAAGAAGTACCAAAACCCCTATAGAATCCTCTCACACCTTCATGACTCATAATTGACAATGACAATTTGAGGGACGAGATTTGCGTGGGCAAAACCTGTTGCCTAGTCTTTAAAACAACAACAGGGTAGAGAGCAGCTGATACACCTGAAAATAATGCTGCCCCAAGAAAGAAAAACTTCGACTTGTCAAGCATATGCCAATCTATATCAGCTGGTAGATGAATCTCTGATGCCGAATTATCCTCGGCAGCACTCAAACTCATCTTAGCCACTTTTAAAACACTAAATCACCCACAAGCCCTTTTAGCTCAACTAGATAAAAAGTCTTTGAAACCAAAAACAAGCTCACTCTCCTTTTCGCTCAGCTCAACCAGCGATACACTTAAGCTGATTAAAACCCAACAGAAATGAACTGAAACCAGATCCAAAAAGTCTTAATCTTCACTATTCCAACTACTAATTGGCTATACAATTATGTATATTGAAAAATAAAAAATCCAAATCTAAAGCACAAAAAGGAGAAAGACTGATTCTTGAACAAAATGAAAATAAAATACTAGGAAGATATGCAGGAGTTAGCTGAAATAAAAAGTTAAAGGTTGGAGGTGTTGGGCTTTTCTTTCTCCTATGCCAACAAATTTCAGACCAGTGGATCACCATAAAAGGGATAACTAAGAACAGATAGACAGTGGTGAAATCAGAATCTTACCTGAAAGAAGTCCTAAGGTTGTTGCTATTCTTTACCGCTGGGGGAATAAAAAAAAAAAACTTAGAATAAAATACTTCAATAATAACGAAGTGAAAGTGCAGGCATATCACAAAAAGTGGATGAAGCAGAGATAGCGAGTGTGTGCTACTGTTAATTTAACGGAAGAGGAAAGACAAGATAATAGATTTTAGAGAGGATCGAGGAAAATGGACACATGTCTGTTAATTTGTTTAGGGTTAGGACACAGGAAGAGCGAGGGGAGGCCCTTTGTTACCTTGTGTTTTCCTCCTGCTCATCAGATCTTGAGGCCTGGGCTGGGCTCCTACATCATTCAATGAATGCCTTAACTCTTTGAGCTATACTTTATAATTTCTAATTATAATAAATAAAAATAAATTTACAGTATGATTGTAAAAATTAGATTAGAATTTTAATTTTTTATTTAATCTTCCTATAATATATTAAAAGTTTATAATATGATTGTAATAGTTAGATTGAATTTTAATTTTTTTAATTTAATCTTTCTATAATATACTAAAATAAAAAAATGGAGATTTGAATAAAAAATTAAAGAAATACAATTCTAAAAATAAAAATAATAAATTGATATGTCATTAACTCAATTCAAAGGTCTAAACATTTATTTCAATAAATTTATTAATCATCGATGTGAAATAAACATCCTTTCAATTTAAACAAATAAATTTGATGTCCTCTAAAATAAGGGGAGTCGAAGAGATTATAAGTAAATTAATTATATAAAGCTTTTTGATCAATTTCTTACAATCAAGCAAATTCAATATTAAAAAATAATTTTAATGCACTTGATGGTAGTATTAGAAGCAAAGTCTATAAAATTTATTTTAAGTAATTGTTCAAAGTTTGAGCAATTTAACTTAGCTTATTCATCTCTAATAAATTAAAGTGATAATTACAACAATCAAGTTAACTTCTTTACTTCTTATTCTAGTTCTTGATAATAATTACAGATTATAAAAAACTAGAAAGCACATAT